GGCGACGTAGTTAGAAGAGGTTGCTGGGAGGCCTGAGCGGCCTGTACAGCCTGTGCCGCTTGTGCCTGAGCCGCTTGCGCGGCCTGAAGCAGTTGCTGAGGTTGTATCGCGCTCAGAAGTTGCTGGCTGGCCGAGCTGTTGCTCAGAAGGTGTGGCAGAGCGGCTGAATTCAGCCCTAATCCGGATGCTAAGCTGGGACTTGTTGGAACTGTCACGGGTGGAACGAGAAAAGCGTGTTCTGCTTGTTTCACAATTTCCAAACTCGTCGTTCTAATTTTTATACACAAGCTACCATCGTACCAAGATACAGAACTAATTTCGATTCATTCGACAATGTTCGTTCCATATTGGGAACACGTCGGTGCCGTGTTCTGCTTGTTTCACAATTTCCAAACTCGTCGTTCTAATTTTTATACACAAGCTACCATCGTACCAAGCTACAGAACTAATTTCGATTCATTCGACAATGTTCATCCCATATTGGGAACACGTCGGTGTTCCAGAAAAACCTAAATTTGACGTTCGTACGAAAGGATCAGAGTGTTACCTGTAAAATCACCGTTGTTGGTCGGCGTGTTCAGCATGTTCTGCGGCTGAGCGATCGACTGAAGGTTCGCCAGGGTCGTAGACACTACCTGGCCGTTGCTGAGCGCCAAGTTCACCATCTGATTATTCGTGACGTGGCTCACGGGAATAGTCAGAATAGTTTGCGTAGCGATTCCTGCCGGGATAACAGAAGGAAGTGGGGGAGGGAGAAAGAAACGTACGGTTAATCCAGTATGGCTACACGTCGTCACATCATAGCCAAGTTATAAACGACGAAGGGGTAGGAACGAAACAAGGCAACAGGGCTGCGCGCTTGATAATTCTATCTCTGGGCCCCGTCCCCGTATAAACGTGTCTCGAATCAATAGATACTTCATTTCCATTATGAACGTAGTCCACGCGTCGTTGATCCAGGAAGGGTAGTAAAGTTATCAGAGTCTCATAGAGGGATTATTAGGCAACCCATAGGGCAGGTAACCTCGCAGGCCAGCGTAGTTGGCAAACTATTATCGTCATCTTAATAGTGGGTACAGGTACTGGCACTGGACTAGGCTGCGAGAAGGACGCCTAATCATACTTAGAATAGTTTCGGGATTACCTCCAGCTCCGCTAATCTGATTACCCTGTACACGCGCTTAATATGATTACTGATCATGAGTACGTACCCGTGTTGGTACCTATAGCTAAGCTAAGCAAATCCCGTATTCCGAACAGCCATAAAAGTTTCGCGTTCTGAGGTAAGGTCAACTGACAATCCGATTACCTTTCAGTTTCGCCGCGATATTCGACGATAATATTCCGCGGCACCGGCCGCAACACACACACACACACACACACACTTTTAATTTCGTCGTTCACGCATCCTACCACATTTTTTCTCTCCATCCTAAACCTTCTTCTTCTTCTCTCTGTACTCTCCGTACTCGGGGAAGATAGACTTTGACGAACTGACCTCGCGAAATCCCACCTTTGCTCCGTTCAAACTGTTATATACTCGTCTCTACCTGGCTTTCCCGTTTCGTTTCCGTGCAAGTTGTGTCTTACATTGCGAGAAAAGGAAAGAAGATTCTGTCTGGTCGATAGAGGGGATCAGGCTGAGGATAAGCTTGTTACCACTATCGCGTTTCTTCCTGGATAACGCAACGTTCGTTCAGATCGAACGGGTAATTTGTGACACACTCCACGAGAGAATTGTCACTACTTGCCCCCCTTGCGTCTTTAGTCAAGATTCTTCAACGTTACGACGAAAATAACACGCTTATCTGACACAAGCTCACAGAGAGCTCTTTTATTCCTGAACAAGTATCCCCAAGTATTCAATGTTATTTGCGTTGCCAATGATCCGAATCCCTCATGACCTACTGCAGCCGGGGCATAAAACATTCAATCACTATTGCTTTCAATCGTAGCTCCGATTGTAAAATTAATCGACCGTAGATTCCACGGTGAGCATTCCTTCTCCTAATATACCCGGCAGCGAAATGGGCGCAAAAGTTCAATACGTCGAATACGTTAAGCAGTATAATATATATTTAACCGTCGTCTATTTTCCGCGTTGCTTAAGCTCTCCCCTACTTCTGATCAAGGATGCGCGAATCGGGTCTCTTAAATAAACTTGTCAGGAGGCTTCCAGGCAAAAACTGTTTCCGTACGATCAATCAGTACGTTCGATGTACGGGGTGGGTCAAAAAGATCGGTCTGCAGTCTGAGTAACACTTCTCTGGGTCGAAGACAAGTTTGGAAACTTTGCTTCTCGAAGTATAGGAAGAAATTGGAATAAATTAGAATTCTCGACCTAATACGAAGCACTCCTTACTTCGTCGTTTGCCAGAGATATCACCCAGAACTCGGTCCTTTGACACATCCTGTACAAATCCGATCGGTGTCTGTTTCTTTGCTCGGAGACGTCTATCAGGAACCAATCGAGCGTTAGTCAGTTACCATCGATTGAGCCGAAAAGCAGTGCAAACATTATTTGCCACCACGTAACTCGTCATCCTACCACGACTGGTCCATATCCACGAACTTCAATCCACTTAGGCGGACTCGCAAAG